CCAGGTCAGCTAATGTTGTTATCTATTGCGCAGCTAATGAGTGTGATTATTAGGAAGTCAACAAGGAATTTGGAACCCTTGGCCTTGTTCCAAATAGTGACTTTTAAGTGCCATGACTGCTTGTTTCCATACTGCCACACACACTTGCTGTAGTCGTAGTACTTAAGTCACAGTTTAGAATGAGGCCCAACGGTGTTACGAATGTATTTGACCATGTGTGACACACAGTATAATGTCTGATCATAACACCTCAGTATTGAGGTATCCAGCAATAGGTATGGATGTGTGATGTGTGTCACACACAGTATAGTGTCTGATCATAACACCTCAGTATTTAGGTGTCCAGCTGTAGGTATGGCTGTTTGATGTGAGCATGTGTGTCACACACAGTTTAGTGTCTGATCATAACACCTCAGTATTGAGGTGTTCAGCTGTATGTATGGCTGTTTGATGTGAGCATGTGTGTCACACACAGTATAGTTTCTGATCATAACACCTCAGTATTGAGGTGTCCAGCTGTGGGCATGGATGTATATGTGAGCATGTGTCACACACAGTATAGTGTCTGATCATAACACCTCAGTTTAGAGGTGTCCAGCAGTAGGTTTGATAATACTGTTGAAAGTGGCATTAACTTCTACTCACACATACCACAATGAAGATTACATTTACTTTCATGATAATAATAAACTGCCAGTTTTATAGTATTTTTTCAAATAGTGTAGTGTAAACAAGACTCCCCTTTCAACTGGTCAATAAGGTTCAAACACCCCTTTTGAAAATCACATAAGGGCCCCAATGACATGAACCAAAATATTTCCCCCATCATTGTCTGATTGGATTGTTTTATCTAACCCCGCCCCAACCCCAATGAAGTTAAGAATTCAGAATTTAGACTTCACCCGTCCCCTATGACACATATAGTGAAGAAATAAATATTTGCCCCCCACATGTACCACTGAAGATAGCAGTTTGAGAAACACAAGTTACAAACGCACTGTGGACAGTCTCGGTATACAGTTGAGTGATATCACTCTGAAAGTGGTTGATCAGCCCTCATAGCAGCTGTCACAGAGATATTGTTTGGCATGATTAATGTGACAAATTATTTTGTTGTTAAGTTAGATAGGATTTGCAGTTTGTTGTATGACATATGTCAGGGTATTAGTATTCTATGAGAAGATACTCATTGCCATCTTGTCACACAAGGTTCTTGTAAGATGATATTAACCTAATTTGCAGGCTTAAGAACAAGGACACGTCTTAAAAATCTACGACTGAAGCATGCCAGATCAGACTGTTACTGTTATAAATACTTCTAATGTTTCCGTAGCTTAGAATAATTAATTATGGTGACACAAATGACAGGAAATTAAGCATAATTTTCTTTTGGGGTGTTGAAAGTCTTTCTTTCTTTCTTTCTTGTGTTGCTAGGTTACCAAGTAGCTGTAAGACATTGTAGATAACCAGCTGATAACAGCTGATAACAGCTGCTCAGACCAGGCCTAAGAGTAACAGGCCTTACTCTGGGAGTCGGTGGCCCGGTTATCAGGTCTACAGTGTATTGTTTATGTGACAAGTATTACTCATGTTTTGTGTATGTACAGTATAGAGGATTCCAGATTTACTGACTTGGTTAAATAGAAACTTACTTGTGTATATGTTCATGTTATATTTCACTTGCGATGTAGAAATTTTATTTATCTACATGATCTAAGCATGAGGAAATTTAATCATCAGCTTTTACAATGGTATTTTTTAACGTTCCTACGAGCCCATATTTAGTAGGGGAAAACTGGCAAAACCAGAGTCGGTTGTTGGAAGATCCAGATAGAGGTGGTGCTGGTGGTGCTGGTGGTGCTGGTGGTGCTGGTGGATCCAGACGGGTGGTTTAGTTGGATCCAGAGGTGGTGCTGGTGGAGCTGGTGGATCCAGACGGGTGGTGTAGTTGGATCTGGAGGGGGTGCTGGTGGATCCAGACGGGTGGTGGTGGTGGGTGGTGTAGTTGGGTCTGGAAGGGGTGCTGGTGGATCCAGAGGGGGTGCTGGTGTATCCAGGTGGGGATGTTGTTTAATTAAATCTATGAGCCTGAATATTTTTTCAGAAAAACACCTTGCAACAATGTCATTTTTGGGTCATTTTTTTGTTTTTTGTCCAACAGTCTGAAGCATAATTATTTTTTTCAAGAATTTTGTGGGGCAATTAATTTTCTTCTATAAAATCCCAGACCCCCTGAGAATATCAAATGGACAGTCCCTTTGTATGAAGTGCAGATGTACTACTGAGAAATTACTTTTTGAATATTTAAAAGGATAATGGAAATTTACTGAGAATATTTACTCAACCACTGAGGCAAGACTTGTTTTGACCCTGAGTAGATATACTTACGGCGCACTAGATTCAAGTAGGCTATGAGCATTCAATTTTTTGTGTGTTTCCTATTAATCTTTAGTCCTTCTCAGGAAAAGGACCAGGCCTTCGCAGAGTGTTGGCCCATAATTATTGGATAGACATTGCACCACTCCATTCATACGCATCTTACTCAGCAGGCATGGATACTCTGTTACCTTGAGATTCACAGCAAGTAGCTGTGCGGGTACAGCCTCCTGCTGTCAGGACCCAGCTTGTCATGGGTTTGAATCTTAGATTGACCCTGATTATGATCCTTGGTTTTTGAGGACCAGACATGTGCTTGTGGGTTTCACCAACCGCAACAACGTGTGTCATGTTGGGCTTCTTCCCACCAGGTCTTCAGCAACCCATGCTTGTCGTAAGAGGCAACTTATCAGTGGTCAGGCTTGCTTTCTTGGTTGATGCATGTCATTGTATCCCAATTGTGCAGATCGATGCTCATGATGTCAATCACTGGATTGTCTGGTCCAGACTCAATTATTTACAGACCGCAGTCATATAGCTTTAAATACTGCTGAGTGGGGCATTGATACATGATTTGATAAAAGATGTCTGACGGTCAAAATGACGTATGACGAATAACGGATAGAACGAACTAAAATTTGTGGTTTCTTTGAGTTCATTGTGACCGTAGTTTACAGTATATGTAACTTGATTGTGCATATGTAGCTTGGTATTATTGTCAGTTGAGTTTGTTTAAGGCCAATAGCACTGATTAGAGTCACCTCCTTTGTTTTGAGATTGTTCTAAAACAGTAACTAATGTTCGTGATCTATAACTTTAAGACTAAAAAAAGTTAAGGACCAACCAATTCTTTCATATTACTATAATTAATCTTCCATGTCATGATAAACTGTAGTAATATCAAAGAATCCATGGTCCTTAACTTGTTTTGAGTAGAATATGTCCTTAGATAAGTAGATTGCAATAAACAAACTTGTGCCTGTTGTAGATATATACTCGTAAGTGTATTATTATTATAATTATTTGTAATTAAACTTAAAACATGCTTGTTTACCTTGTTACAATAAACATTATCAGTCGATATCTGTTATCAATATTGTAGTGAATGAGTGAGTGAGTTGGGTTTAAAACCGCTTTTAACATTGTTCCAGTTATATTGTGGCATGGCAACTTAATGTGGAAGGAAAGCCTGAAGTGATGCAGGTCTCAGACGTTTACCACTTCGGTGAAACCCACGAGCACGGGTATGGTGCTGACAAACCTAGAAACATTATTGGGACAAACCCGTGCCCCCATCAGTATTGTAAATAATAATTGTGGTTATAACCAGGTGAAAATATGATGCGCACCAGAGTCATCGATCCCAATTGCGTGGTACGATGCTCATGATATCAATCACCGGATTGTCTGGTCCAGAGAAAAAATGGTTCAGATAATCATGATAATCGACATGAGGATTGTGAGAATAGGCAGGAAATACCGAACTTAACCCGCCTGTTCGTAAAATGGACAGTTCCAAGGTCAGATTCTATTCATGGAGTCATCATTATTAAAATTTGGGTAAATATTTGTAATGCTTGTACAGTTTATTAAGATCCTTAAACATGTTAAAGTCAGGCTGTACATAATGTTGTTCTCATATAAGACATAAACGACTCGTGGTCGTTGTTTATTGAACAATAAAACACTGAAGGGAGAGAAAAACATATGTTTTATTCTCCCTACAGTGTTTTATGTGTACGATAAACAACTCCCACTCGTTTATTTCTCATTAAAGTATATAGTTTGTTTCAAATATCATACACTGTGGGGGTGGGTGGGGGGTGTGGGGTGTGTGGCCCAGTCGTCTAAGGCGCCGCAATTCACTCTGCAGAGTTGCGTCCCCTAGGCACGCCAGAAACCTATGATTGTGGATTCGAATCCAGGTCCTTGATTATGTTTCTAGGTTTGTCAGCACCATACCTGTGCCCGTGGGTTTCATCAAAGTGGTAAACGTCTGTGACCTGCATCACACATTAAGCTGACTCGCCGCGATATAACTGGAATACTGTTAAAAACGTCGTTAAACCCAACTCACTCACTCATACACTGTGGGATTGAGAATTTGATCACAAGTCCTGATTGCCCTTCACAACCTGTCACAAGAATATATATATATGTTATCATTAAAGTTAACTTCATTAATTTGTGTATCTACATAATGAATATACATGATATAATTGTTCCATGTCAATAAATTTACTGTATACTAATTATATGGAACTGTAAAATGTCCTGAGGTAAATGTGTGATCGGTATGTATGAATATTAACAAGAGACACAGGTAACAAGCAGATATTTGTCTGATGCTATTTGTTAATGTAAAAATATTCACAGCTGTATAATTACCATTAAGTACATATACTTGGTAAGAATTCATTGCAGTCAATGCCAGTCGGACACATGTAACAAGTTTGTAAATAGACACAACTCAGACATTTACTCAGCTACAGCATGACGTGAAAAGCCCCAAGAATAGTAGGAGGGAGGATATTATGTACAGCTATTATTAAAGTGGGAATTACGTGTATCTAAAATATCCGGGCTGACACTGAAGTCGCAAAGACATGAATAGCGATGGACCGTGTTAAATGTGACCTCATTATCAGCTGGTATATGCGTTAGCATTAGATTTCCCAGTACTTGTTGTGGAGTATCTTGTGTTGTCACTTTGTCCAGGTATTGATGTGATACCTGTCAGGTATTGATGTATTACCTGTCCTCAGATACGGATATTTCGATACCTGATATGTGATTCAGAGTGGGTAGAGGATTATACATGCTGAGGATTATTTGAAAACGACAGTTAACCTCTCTGCAGCAGCTTACATCTGTAACAAGGTTTTAACCTGGACGTACTCTGTATCCTGTCCTTAATAACAAAAGGAAGCCTGACTGGGTTGCAGATGTTGGACGTGAACATAAATGTGTTTTTAGTGTTAATTTGTGAAGGATAAAAAACAATTCGTGAACCAAAAGAGACTGTAACTTCCAAGGTAAAGTCCTTTCGGGCTGGAAGAACGACTGTGATTACATTTATAAACTGAATATTACATTGTGTTTGAACCAGTCATGGAGGAATTGTTTCGAACCATCAGAGAAATCGGAAGCGCAAGACAAGGTTCCAGTGAGGTAGGAAGCTGGACAACAGCATAAGTGATTGGATGGGATTGTATTTGGTATATATTGTTCAGTAAATACAAAGAGAAAAATGTACATGTGACTTCTATTCAATTTTTCGGCACAGCCTTCACCTTGGCCAGAGATGGGTTTGGTGCATTTGTATGTCTGTTATTATTTACAAAAATAGCAAACTTATGTTTTGGTTCTGTTATGTTCTTTATTTATAATTCTAATTCATGAAAAATATAAAGTTGACTGACAAGGAATAATGTAACCATTTCTGTGCTATTTGATCAGCTGCATACCATCAGTACTGGCCATCCAAGGGATTATCTGCGGTTTCATTAGATTCCTTGTGGTGATTGTGCAAAATGTGTCATATTCCGTTAAAAAGGTAAATCTCTCCCTGCTTGGTTGGTGTGTTCTGTGCTTCATCAGGATGATGTATGCAGGTTTGTTGTTGTCTTTACGATGTTTACAAGCCACGATAAGTCGATGACTCTGTCTGTGTTTGTGTTGCTGGTTTAGACATTAATAAGAAGAACTGGTTTTATATGGATAAGCTCATCAGTTAGAAATGATAGAAGATCAAACAAATGAAGAAATGAATTAATTCATGTTTCTCACAAGCAGTTTGATGGATTTTCAATTCTGATATATTTCTCATATTCTTGTAGGTAATAGGAAACAAGACATACTGCACAAAAAATATATCAAATCTGAGAACAGGTTTCACACAGAAATATTCTAGTTGTAAGCAGGAACACTGCTGGAAAGAGATCATGATGTAATATGATTGTGTGTAATGTGATTGTGTGTAGTGTGATTGTATGAAGTAGTGTGATTGTATGTAATGTGATTGTAATGTGTGATTGTGATGAAGTGTGATTGTGTTGTGTGATTGTGTGTTGTGTGATTGAGTGTAATGTGATTGTGTGTAATGTGATTGTGTGAAGTGTGATTGTGTTGTGTGATTGTGTGTTGTGTGATTGAGTGTAATGTGATTGTGTGAAGTGTGATTGTGTGTAATGTGATTGTGTGCCATGTGATTGTAATGTGTGATTGTGATGATGTGTGATTGTGTGAAGTGATTGTGTGTTGTGTGTTGTGTGATTGTGTGTAAAGTGATTGTGTGTAGTGTGATTGTGTGAAGTAGTGTGATTGTGTGTAATGTGATTGTGTGTTGTGTGATTGTGTGAAGTGTGATTGTGTGAAGTGTGATTGTGTGAAGTGTGATTGTGTGAAGTGTGATTGTGTGCAATGTGATTGTGTGCAGTGTGATTGTGTGTAGTGTGATTGTGTGAAGTGTGTTGTGTGATTGTGTGAAGTGTGATTGTGTGCAATGTGATTGTGTGTAGTGTGATTGTGTGTAGTGTGATGTGCGAAGTGTGATTGTGTGAAGTGTGATTGTGTGAAGTGTGATTGTGTGAAGTGTGATTGTGTGCAATGTGATTGTAATGGAGTGTGATTGTGTGAAGTGTGATTGTGTGTTGTGTGATTGTGTGAAGTGTGATTGTGTGCAATGTGATTGTAATGGAGTGTGATTGTGTGTAATGTGTGATTGTGATGAAGTGTGATTGTGTTGTGTGATTGTGTGTTGTGTGATTGTGTGAAGTGTGATTGTGTGTTGTGTGATTGTGTGAAGTGTGATTGTGTGTAGTGTGATTGTGTGAAGTGTGATTGTGTGCAATGTGATTGTAATGGAGTGTGATTGTGTGAAGTGTGATTGTGTGTTGTGTGATTGTGTGAAGTGTGATTGTGTGCAATGTGATTGTAATGGAGTGTGATTGTGTGTAATGTGTGATTGTGATGAAGTGTGATTGTGTTGTGTGATTGTGTTGTGTGTTGTGTGAAGTGTGATTGTGTTGTGTGATTGTGTGATTGTGTGAAGTGTGATTGTGTGTTGTGTGATTGTGTGCAATGTGATTGTGTGTAATGTGATTGTGTGTTGTGTGATTGTGTGTTGTGTGATTGTGTGAAGTGTGATTGTGTGTTGTGTGATTGTGTGCAATGTGATTGTGTGTAATGTGATTGTGTGAAGTGTGATTGTGTGAAGTGTGATTGTGTGAAGTGTGATTGTGTGAAGTGTGATTGTAATGGAGTGTGATTGTGTGTAATGTGTGATTGTGATGAAGTGTGATTGTGTGTTGTGTGATTGAGTGTAATGTGATTGTGTGTAATGTGATTGTGTGTTGTGTGATTGAGTGTAATGTGATTGTGTGTAATGTGATTGTGTGTAGTGTGATTGTGTGCAATGTGATTGTAATGTGTGATTGAGTGTAATGTGATTGTGTGTAATGTGATTGTGTGAAGTGTGATTGTGTGAAGTGTGATTGTGTTGTGTGATTGTGTGAAGTGTGATTGTGTGCAATGTGATTGTAATGGAGTGTGATTGTGTGTAATGTGTGATTGTGATGAAGTGTGATTGTGTGTTGTGTGATTGAGTGTAATGTGATTGTGTGTAATGTAATTGTGTGTAATGTGATTGTGTGCCATGTGATTGTAATGTGTGATTGTGATGATGTGTGATTGTGTGAAGTGATTGTGTGTTGTGTGATTGTGTGTAAAGTGATTGTGTGTAGTGTGATTGTGTGAAGTAGTGTGATTGTGTGTAATGTGATTGTGTGAAGTGTGATTGTGTGTAATGTGATTGTGTGAAGTGTGATTGTGTGTAATGTGATTGTGTGAAGTGTGATTGTGTGAAGTGTGATTGTGTGAAGTGTGATTGTGTGAAGTGTGATTGTGTGAAGTGTGATTGTGTGTAATGTGATTGTGTGAAGTGTGATTGTGTGAAGTGTGATTGTGTGAAGTGTGATTGTGTGTTGTGTGATTGAGTGCAATGTGATTGTAATGGAGTGTGATTGTGTGTAATGTGATTGTGTGTAATGTAATTGTGTGTAATGTGATTGTGTGCCATGTGATTGTAATGTGTGATTGTGATGAAGTGTGATTGTGTTGTGTGATTGTGTGTTGTGTGATTGTGTGTAATGTGATTGTGTGTAAAGTGATTGTGTGTAGTGTGATTGTGTGAAGTAGTGTGATTGTGTAAATGTAAAAATGATCACATATCTGATGTATACTGCGACTGGGGATGCATTGCATGGATGATTGTGATTGTGTGAAGTAGTGTGATTGTGTGTAGTGTGATTGTGTGTAGTGTGATTGTGATTTTGATTTCGATGTAATTATAATTGTATGCTATGTGTAAATGTAAAAATGATCACATATCTAATGTATACTGCAACTGGGGATGCATGGGATGGATGAAGATACAGATGCATGACCTTGAGCAGCGCCCCAGGCATTGTTTGGAAGCCTGGGAGTGGTCTCATCTACAAGCCTGGCCTTATATATAGTCGTCACCCCAAGGGAACCAACCATGGGGTTGGTTGAACATGTGCTACTATTCCGCACAAAGGTAGAGGGATTAGATTGTCAAGCAGAAATATAATGTTTCTTAGAGCCGACAGGTCAGGGTATTCTTACCCCAAATGTGTTTTTAACCTGGCAGCCTGTGACAGTTAGCATCCAATTACCATGATAACACTGAATGTGTCTGTGGGGGAGAGTAATTGCCATTTAGTGGGTGAGTGAATGAGTGAGTGAGTGAGTGAGGGTTCAACGCTGCTTTTAACAGTATTCCAGTTATATCGTGGTATGTCAGCTTAAAGTGGGAGGAAAGCCCGAAGTGATGCAGGTCTCAGATGTTTACCACTTCCGTGAAACACATGAGCACGGGTATGGCACGGGTATAGGCAAACCTAGAAGCTTAATCGGGGCGAACCTGAATTCAAACCTGCAATCATAGGTTTCTGGCATTGCCAACCTGCACAGCGAATCGCGATGCCTTAGACAACTGGGGGAATAGTCTGTGTGAGAAGAGAAGTATTTTACTCGTCCTCATCTAATCCAACTCTTCTCCACATGACCACAGGGCGATCAGGTAACCTAGTGGATAAAGTGTTTGCTCCTCACACCAAAAACCCCGGGTTCAGTTCCTGACATAGGTACAATGTGTACAATACTCACTCACTCACTCATTTCTGGTGTCCCCCGCCATAATATTGGTGGAATATTGCTGTATGCGGCAAAAAACCATACGCACTCACTCACTCACTCACTCACTCCAATCACTCCAATCACAATCGTTTTTATTTTGATCCTTGAGTCTTATTGAGACTGTTTAACTACCGTATTTCCTCTATTAAATGCGGATCTCCCAATAGACGCTGGCCTCTGGATACTGTGTCATACGCCCTGTTGAAAATTTGGAAGCGAGGCCTCTATTAGACACTGGGTCTCTGATACTATTCTTCAGTGACAGACTGTGGGTGTTTGGGAGGTATTCTCCAGTGACAGACTGTGTGTACTGGGGAGGTATTCTCCAGTGACAGACTGTGGGTATTGGGGAGGTGTTCTCCAGTGACAGACTGTGTATTGGGGAGGTATTCCCCAGTGGCAGATTGTGGGTGTTGGGGAGGTATTCTCCAGTGACAGACTATGGGTGTTGGGGAGGTATTCTCCAGTGACAGACTGTGGGTATTGGGGAGGTATTCTCCAGTGACAGATTGTGGGTGTTGGGGAGGTATTCCCCAGTGGCCGATTGTGGGTGTTGGGGAGGTATTCTCCAGTGACAGACTATGGGTATTGGGGAGGTATTCTCCAGTGACAGACTGTGGGTGTTGGGGAGGTATTCTCCAGTGACAGACTGTGGGTATTGGGGAGGTATTCTCCAGTGACAGACTGTGGGTGTTGGGGAGGTATTCTCCAGTGACAGACTGTGGGTGTTGGGGAGGTATTCTCCAGTGACAGACTGTGGGTATTGGGGAGGTGTTCTCCAGTGACAGACTGTGTATTGGGGAGGTATTCCCCAGTGGCAGATTGTGGGTGTTGGGGAGGTATTCTCCAGTGACAGACTATGGGTGTTGGGGAGGTATTCTCCAGTGACAGACTGTGGGTATTGGGGAGGTATTCTCCAGTGACAGATTGTGGGTGTTGGGGAGGTATTC